ATTATGAATAAAGTGAATAATAGCTAGACCCTTTTTTCTACTTTATACGATCCTGTAATAAGAAAGTGACTTAAAAAGACTATAATAGTAATTCATATAATGTTCTTAATTAGTAGTATTATCTAAATTTATATGTTGTATGAACTTGGAATCTCTGCTATTCTCCTAGGATCATCAGATCTAAACCTACTTTAAGCAATTATTAATTATAAGAGGTTAATTTCACCAGAAAAATAGTAAAATAGATTCAGTATTTGGACCTTATAACTGAATAAACTTGCTTTATATAGTGTAATCTAGATTGCATTACTTTAATACAATTACTAATCATATAACTTTTTTTCTAGCAAGTTAGATTTAGCTGAATAGGCAGTATAAAAATAAGCAAGTTTTTACCTTAAGATAAGTCTTATAAAATGAGGATACTATGCATCTAGCAATAATGTTATTTTTGCTCTTATATGTATTTTTTGCTGTGTTAACTCTGTTGAAAACAAAGGTTACACATTCATAATTTATTTCTAAAGTCAACTATCGTATATTGTTTATACAAGATTTTTTATTTCCAAGTTAATTTCTACTTACTATAGGTTTTTTTATATTTCTTGCAGAGTTCCTCAAATAGCAATTATTAACCTTAACTGTATCATCAGTGGAAAAAACCCTGAAAATAAAACTTTTACAATTGAGATTTCTAATGATAAAAAGTATAAATTGCTCAAACATACAGTAAAAAAATGCTTGGCACCTTTATTTGATTCCATCCCTTCTACTCAAATTACCCTTCATTCATCTGCTGATAGTAATATTTTTAAACTAATGATTAGAATTTCTGAAGACTTTACTACTAGCCTCAATGAAAATAGCATTCATATTTATATAGATTTCCCAAGAAATTAAATAGTAAAAAAATTTTTTATTTATATTTGCAGCTATAATAGCGATATATATATTATTTGTATATCATCGTTCTAGCAACAATTTTTATGAAATAAAGAGAGGGGTTTTGTGCCCTACTATTTTTTATTTTTACGTAATTTTTTACGATTATTAATTAGTGGAAATAATAGATTTTTCTTATTAACTTATGCTTTTACAATTACTATTTGGATTGAATTCTGACATTTATTCTCCCAACATGTAAGACAATATGTTCTTGTATTGACATAATCACCACTCCCCTACTCACCTTTTATATCATCTTTTTTATGCTCTTTATTACATACAAGACAGGTTTTTGGACAATTAAAATAGTTATCATACTTATTACTATATTTCAAAGTTAAATAAAGAAACTACTCTAGCACTTTGTTAATAATAGATTTTCACTTCTCTTGCAGATCATCAGGTAAAATAGAGATTGGAGATCAGGGTTTATTAGATGTATTTTTTTTGGATATAGGTGATGTACTTACCTCAGATAAATTAGCAGAAATAGATGAGTCAGAGACTCGAGGCTTTGTTTCTTTAGTAGATATATTACTTTAGCTTCTGGTAATTCTGAGGAAGCAGAGCTTCGAGTCTTTGACTTATCTTGATCATTTTCTTAAGATGGTTCAGTTATATGTGCATGACAATTTGTCATGCTTATCATATCTGTTGAAGACTTGGGAAAATCATTTATAAGGTTTTGAATTTGAATATTCTTTAGACTTGAAATAGCACTTGCACTGTAAGTTATTTGATTAATTTTATCAATTCCTACTCCTTCATAGAATATATATACTTTTTTCACTCTAGAAGTTATTTTATGCAAGTTTACATCAGTAACATCAGGAAGGAGCGATTTGATTTCATTATATACTATCGTTCTTGCCAACTAGTCATCAGTATTATTCACAGATTTAACATTACTAACTCGATTTTCATACGCTTTATAATAGCAATACCAGCACAAACTTTCCTTCTGTCGAACCTTCATTGCTACCCTAAATAGATCAACTATATTTTGCAATGTAACCTTACTAGATTCCATTAAAATCGATTCTAAAGCAAATTTGGGAATCTGAATATCAAATACTTTATTAATATTATGGGTATTATCTTTGGTGCAAATAAATAGCTCGAGTCTTAAACCTCGTTCTACTTTTTGATTATAAGGAATTTTCTGATTAAGCAATAGGTTAGTAGAGGAAGCAGAGCTTCGAGTCTTTGACTCATCTTGATCGTTCACGGTTTTTAAGTCATGTGATAATTGAGCAACATCGACTTTTTCTAATTCTACTGAAGGTAAGCTTTGGTCCTGAAGCTTCTTTTCCCTATTTTTCTCTCTTATCATATTACTAACCCTTTCCTTTTCTTTTTGATCTAGAAACTCATCGATTGTTTTATCTTCTAAAGATATGGGAGTATTATAAGAATTTACTGTAGACAAATCAGAGATAAGCTGTAAACTCGAGAATTCGTCTCTTCCCTCTGCCTGTTGTGAAACATTAGTAACAATTTTTTCTTTATTTCTTTGTTCTAA